TGTGCTGGAACCGGCTCAACAAATGTTTATTTTGCAGTGAAGACGCTCTGCTTTGCTATTCCCAACACATTTTAACTGCACAATATTTTCAGAATTATAATTTTTTTTGCTTACTAAGGATCGTAGTGGTTTGGTATTTCACCAAAAGCCACATTTTAGAGTCTATATTCAGGCTAAGGTTATTTGGTAAATAAACTAGCTGACAATTATTCTAATGATCAATTATTGAATGTTTTTGTCACCAATTAATGGGGCATTTGCTTTTAAAATAAGACCCCTATTGGTTTGGATCATTCCTTCTTAAAAACACTGCTGTGTATATTTATTTTAGTTATGTTTGGATGATATTGAAATAAGCAGCCCCAGATCATTTTCAGAGTGGTGCTCCCCTAAAGGACCTTTTTTATAATATGACTGTCATAATCACCGACTGCCTGCCGCGAGCCTCGCACCTCACACCTACAGAGCGTTCACTGTCTAGTATATCACAATAAAATGTCTGAAGAGGTGGGTATTAGTGTACATTATCTAATGTCATTTACTGTACAACTTCCTCTTTTTGCTGGAAGTTGTTACTTTTATACAAGTGAAAGTCTTCCTCTCAATTCAAGTGTTTTCTATTTGGTAGACATAAGCCAATGCTATGATGGAGTAATAGGGCCATACAAAAGGAAATTTTGTTTTGACAGGTTGTAATATTATGCGAATAAAGTAGTAGAATTATGAGAACAGAACTTAAAAGATAGAGTACTTGGAAGTACATTAACAGGTCTGTATCAGTTTTGCATCAGTGTATTAGTTTGAGATCTCGTTATGGAGCTAACGCCTCATCCAAATTCACTCTTCAGCTACCCCAGTGCCAATCCGATTCTCAGTTTCTCTGTTTTCTCAATTTTACTACTGACTCCATCAAATCATAAACTTCCAAAATAAAAATAAAAACTCCTCTGTAGTTGGTTGCGCAGTGAGGGTGTGTGGCAATTGATGCCAATGCCTGTGCATGGAGTTGTTTGTCTTACCAGGAGATGAGAGCAGAGAGTCTGCCACCTGGGTCGGTGGCACAGAAACGTGCAATGTGGTTAGCCGACCACAGCTAGTCAGGCGAGATGACAGACCAATTAATCGTCTTATAAACACTTAGATTAGCGTCATGGGGAAGTGAATTTCTCCGCTGTGAGATCAATAAAGCTCATCTAATCTTAGAAAAGGATATATCAAGGTTAAAAATGTTACTTAGTGCTGCTTTAGATCATCTTAGATTAAATTTGTTTTTTTGTTCTTTTTTCTTTTATGGCAGGAGAGAGATGCTCTGCAGCATGGCTGCAGTAAAGCATGTAAAGGAGGTGGCATCACTTTGGATTTTATATATAATATATACAATTCATTTATAATATATTTTATATTTATACTGCAAAACTAAGATGTAGACGGAGGAGTCCTGCATCACCTCTCGCTGTGCTGTGAAAAAATGCATTCATTTAATGCGGTCTGGGTGTGAGAATGGTATATGAAAACCTTAAGAGATAGCACAAAAATGAAATAAAAATAAAAAACCCGGAAAGCTTGCACTTTCATCAGTGTATCAGGGTGAGATCTTCTACTGCATTAAAAGAGGTTGTTTACATCTTAACCAAAGGTGCCAAGAGGGCTTTGTATTTATTGATAACATGTTATTGCTTGCATACCATTATTGAACATATTAGAAAGAACACAGACAAGGTGAAGACAAAGGTGTCTAAATTCTGAGTTTTTCATTAGCTACAAGTGCATAAAACTGACCAATAACATTTTACGAAGCAAGAGGAGATAGGATATAGTTTAATATACACTGCTGAGATCCAATGTTTCCTCCATTACTCAAGCCCCAGAAGGGCACTTCATAGGAAGAGAGGAGGCAAGAAAGAGATTATACAACATTTAACAAAGTGGAAGTGGAGAGGCAGCAGTAGCAGCCTGTAATATAAACAGTAATGTGCAGAGTACATCCATACTATGTGTAATCTCCCAGAAGAAGCTTTTAGTCTCCAGTAGAATAAATAGGATTGATTTAAACGACTTTGCCTCCTATGGAGCTTCCTTGTGGGAAAAACCAACCCCGTGACAGTTATATCCTTCTGGCAAAAACAAAAATGAATGTTGCTAAATTATGCCCAAACAAAGACTGCTGCAATGTGTGAGGGCAGACAAAGTAAACACCAGACTAAAACCTGTTAGATGACCGAGGAAGTTTTTCGAAGTACGTCACACATTCACACTTAATTAAAACTTCCAAAGTTTCCGTAAAAAGGATTCATTCAGGAAATGCCTACTTTACTTCCCACATTTGTAACTGATCATTTCCATATATTTGCAATACTGAAGTTTACTGTTTATAAATGATTCATATTGATGGATTTGGCTTGAATGTCAACTGTTCTTTCTCCATGTTTTTATATGTTTGGGTTTTTGTATGTGATGCAGAAACAGAAGCTAAATTAAGTCTAGATTCGAGGAATGTTTTTTTTATATATATCTTCATGGTCAGGGCTACAAGCACTGACTCAAATCAGCAAGTGTAATAGAAAGAGCATTATACCAGACTATCCTAGCAGAATTGCACCCACTCATTCTAAACTCTTTAGACATGCAGCTCATTGTGTTGTGGGAAAAAAATCCTTCAAAAAATCCTTTACTTTGTAAATAAAAGCAGATGCTGTTTGAGCGGAGGCCGCAAACTAAGTGTTTAAAGATTAAATACCGATGGGTTTTCCGCATAATTCCCCTATCTACATGGCATTTGTGTACAGAGCCTCTTTCTTTACCTCTGTTAAAATCTTAGAGGGTACAAGGCAAAAAAAAAAGTGATGACCTTAGTTATGTTTCGTGACCAAATCGAGGGCGGAATTCAGATCAAACATCTAACATTTTCAGAAGTACGTTTCCTAGATGGTAGACCAAACAGGTCGTAGTGCAACTAAGACATTGAGATAAGGTAAAAAAAAACAAACTCACATACTGTAAAATTTTTTTAGACTGAAATCATTTATTTCTATATTAATTTTTTAGTCTTGTCAACGCTACATCTTTCAATGACATGTTTCCAAGGTTTTCTGCCTTTAATCAACTACGAACAACTTTAACTCCTTTTTTGCTTATTTCTTGCATCACAACCACAAACTTGAATATATATTTTATTTCATTTTATCAACCAACAATAGTCATACCTTTTAAAACTTAAGTGGGAAAGAAATACTAACCTGAAGTGTGAGATCCATTGGTATTCAGTGGCTTGAGTTAAAACTTTCCCATATTACATGTGGAATGAGAATGTAATGTCTGCCCGTTGTTTTAAATAGAATAGCTCAAAGCCAGTCAGATCCTGTAATGGATGGAGAGCATCTATGGATATTCATTTGGAAGTCTTGCCACAGGTTTGGGCTTTGATTAGATCATTCAAAAACTGTATGTGAATAATTCCACTGAAACACTGATTTCATGTTTCAGGTCTAGGGGTGGAAAGGTTCGGTTCGGTTCATGGTTTCGTGGTCACGGTTTTCGGTTCGGTTCGGTATATGTTGATTGTTAGGAAAAACTATTATGTCTAGTATGGTAAGGTTAAAACTGAAAGACATGTTGGTCGTGTTGCTGTTAGCATAAACAACACGTGTTGCACAATGCTTGCACACTGTTGCACTTTTATCCACAACTTTCTTTCCGCCGCTGGCGCATCTTCCAACTCCTGTTCTTTCCCACTCGCCATACCCACACAATTCTCCATAACAACTGATTTTTTTCTGCTACACCCGGCTACGCTGCTTCGCTTTTTCTTCTTGTTTACTACTGGTGGTTGGCTTTGGTCGCAGTACTGCCACCTTCTGCTCTGGAGTGTAATCGCTTCCCCTATGAGAAAAAGGAGCAGCGCATGAACCGAACAAAACACACGCGAACCGTACCGAGACAGTCGAACCGAACGGTTCGGACGGTTTTCATAAACTGTTCCATCCCTATTCAGGTCAATTTTCTGCTGAAAGCCTCAAGTTTACATTAATTGCTGCCCTGTTTCACTAGGAGGAGAGTGTTTTTTACACATATTGTTTTATAAACTAGAGCATTTTAAACAATGTGATTAAATACATAAAAACTAATAAACCATGATAATTATTATCATTGTGATAAAAAAAAATGCATACTTTATTACCCTCACCCTCACAGTGATGGAATTATTGATATTGATGTATCAGATAGGAAGATTAGATCTGAGGTTTTAAAGCAAAAACAAGACTGACACTTGCTGATCAAAGTGTACATGTTGTGCCATGAAATGCACAAACAATCAAACTCTAAGCTTTTCAACACGACGTCACGTGCAAGCCATCTTCCACGTAGCCCTTGTGTGCGCAGCAAAGTCTAAAAAAAAGAGCTGTATCTTAAGAACTGTAAGAGGTTCCACTGGATCACGACAGTAAGAGATGTACTTCAACACCAGATGTAAACAACTGAAAACTGTTTGCAAAGGATTAAAAACAATCTATATGTATTTTCTTAGAGTCGTATTTTGCTGTAAGGCGTTTTGGATCCATAATAGTCCTCATTATCTTTAAAGTGTCCGGTTGCCTATTGATTGGGACACAAGACCTTAAAAGGTAAATCGAAGAGAAGCAAAGTGGCTGAATAGACTTCAAAGTCCTCATTTTGGAGTACGTTTACAATCATGAGTATTTACGCCACAAAAAAAAATGCACATTTCATTTTAACTACACATATAACCATATTTGGCATTTAAGTCTGATACATAAAGCCAGCAAAAACATATACATATCTATTATTTAGAGCCCACCAGCAGGCTGTATGGAGCTCCCAAAGCTTTTTTTTTTTTTCCTTGGTGTTTACATTAAAAAAAGAACAGAAACATTATCATATGTTGATGGCCGAGCCTGGCCTAACGTTCAAATGCAGGAAAATACTGATAGTGTTTGTATTTATTGCACAGCCTAAATAGAGACAAACAGCTCCAGGCTTACCAGGCTTCCAAGTTTAGATGATGAGGAGTTGTTTCTGTGTTTGAGCAGACCATTTCCCTCCATGCCTTGGGCATCTCTGTAGTTTCCATGGACACGAGGCCCACCAGCCCCCTCAGATGAGGAGCGCAGTCGCCTCTCCATCCGCATCACCTCGTGGTAAGGGCTGGCACTGCTGCACACAGAAGCTACAGAGAGGAGAAAAAAAAAAGAAAACAGAAAGAGTTTCAGAAATTAGCTGACACCGTTAAGACGCAATATTCCTTTTATTAATTTCTAATGCAGACAAACCCAGAGAATTAGGCTTCTTTCATAAAACCAAATAATAAAGCCACTTTTACTTATTCAGCTTTTTAAACAAAGTTAAATCATTCCTTCATGAAGCAGGAAGCCCTGCAGCTATATTGGTTTTTTGCTCACTGTGTTTATTGTTTTACAATAATCTAATTCTTCAGATTTCCCACACCTAGATTGTTTTGTAATAATAAAACCACTAAATGAATGCAAGATTTCAGGGGAAATATTCCTCTGAAAAGAAAAAAAAAAACAATAGGAAGATAGTTATAACTGCTCTACTGTGATTTACAGAAAATGTGAAGTGAAAGCGAGAAGTGATACCGCACCATTTTACAGAGCAACAGGTTATTAAAAACAGGACCTCATGCCAGCCATTTCTTCCTGCCATTTCTCACCCCACTCACCCACACACAAAGCTTTCCCTGAATGGGATGAATGGCTCTTTTATTAACAACTCTGTTGTTGAAAACTCACTCGATAAAATAGAAAGAGGATACATAGCAGAAAGATCTAAACATTTTTCCACAGTTCCAGGCTCTTACAGCCATAAACATTTACAGCACCTGAGGGAATGAGAAGACATGGCCTGCAATAATGAATCAATACAACAAATCTCTGCAGTTTAGGGATCCAAAGGTGGATAACGGCAGGTTGTTTGTAATGCAGAACACCATCTACTGTGCTAACGCAGAGGTCAAAATTTGATGTTTTTACATTGCAAAATTATGATTGCAATTTAATATAGTTAGGAGGGAAAATATTCATAAACTTCAAAATAAAATTCAGAGTTATTTATCAAACATACAATCAGGGGTCTCACCAGGATTTATTTATGAGCGTGGAGGCTTAATTTCAGCATATTGATCGTAGTGGCTCGCTACACTGAAATACTCCATCAGAGACCCTGATAATATATACGAATAAATATTATAAACCAAACGGTTTGTTTCTGTTTGAAATTAGGCATGCATCAGTTTTGAAAATATTGTATTGCATTTAGATTTTCTTAAATTTGTACTGCTGCACAGTAAACAATTTTTAAAAAAAACTTTACTGCAAGAAAAACCTACTCAGAGCAGTAATTAAGATAAAACAGTATTTTAAAAATTGGTTTTAAAATGCTCTGATCAGAATCTGACATGAGGACTAGCTTTAAAGAATTACATTGTCATCTCCATTATGGAATGGAGTATTGTGCTATATGCAGGGTTGGTTAGCTTGTTGTTTGCCAAAATCACCCAGACTGTTTATTTGGAGATAAAAGTGAGGTACCACTGTTGAACAGGCATGCTTTTAGAGTGTTGAGCACTACACTGGTCACATGTGCCCGACTTATTTTAAAGTTATGGAAGGACCCCCATACCCCAACAATTAAAATGTGGACCGAGAAAATTACTGAAAATGTTGCTTGTAAAAAAAATGTTGGGAAGAATACATTCTAATAATGAAGCTGCCATGCAACAATGGGACAGTTTTTTGCACCTATATGTCTACAAATTGATTTAAACTTTAAGGCAGCAAACAAAGATTTGCACTAAACCTCACTGTTTTATTCTTAGTTTTTTTTTATCGTAATGTTTTTTGTTTTATTCATGTTTTAAAAATTTTAAAATTCAACAAAAACTTGAATTACAAAAAAAAAGAATTACATTGTCTGAACTTGCTGCAGATCATAAAAGTGTATTTTTTGGACTTTTTTTTTTATCCACAACAGACTACAGGATGTTATTAAAAATGTCAAATATGAAATCATTTAGAAGCTAAAGAAAGTGGCTCTCCATGTGCCAGTAATAAAATATTCTTTAATCAGTAACTGAATATCATTGTTTTAGTTTGTTCAACACTACAGATGCCGTCTTTAGTCACTGCTTCACCTCAACTAACCTAATAAATGTTATCCTTCAGACAAAGATCTGCAGTTGCCCGGAAACGATTCAATAGCACTCATCACAAAAGAATGTCAGAACTGGTTGAGATTCACTAGACTGGATTTCCAGACATGAAGCCTGTTTGTGTCTCTTTTCTGTGCCAAGTGATTATTCATGCAGTGTTACTCTCTGGCAGTGACTCTGCATGTAAACCTGCGATTCCGCCTGTTGGTTTGGGTTTTATACCTGCGTGTGGTTTCCTCAAATGAGAGGACCTGGGTTCGTGGCAGCCGCAGAAGCTTCCTTTTTCTTGAAGAGAGCGCGTGTGTCTCGCCCTCCGATGTGTTTTCTCAGGGTTTGAGTGGCAGCCCTCGCTGCGCGCCCCACACACCTCGCTCTCACTTGTGGTCTCAGTGTGGTACCCTGCCTTCCTCTCCACTGCCACGTCCTTCCTCTCTTCAGCTGATTCTTCTTTTATCGCCTCCTGTCTTTCCTCTTCCCTCTCCTTCCACTCTTCCAGCGATTGTTCCCGCAGAGGTGGACAGGGTACGGCCGTCTCTGGCTCGGAAAGGGAAACTGCCGTTTCGTAGTCTGTGTTGTTGGCTGTGCTAGTGTCAGGGAGTAAAGGTTTCTCCGCACTGGACTGGACTGGGGTGAAGAAAACCTGAGGAGAAGATGTTTTATTGAATTGAATATAACAGGTAATTTTAAGCCTAATGGCATCCATTTTGCAAGAAGCAAAGCAGGAAATGCAACAGAAATGTGGAAAAGGGTTTCAACACTTAACCCTGGAAAGGCATGGGAACTCTTTAGGTGTGATTTTCAACTAAAAGGTTGCTCTAAGTATAGTGTATATATATTAGGGATGGGACGATTTATGAAAACCGTCAGAACCGTTCGGTTCGACTGTCTCGGTTCGATTCGTGTGTGTTTTGTCCGGTTCATGCGCTGCTCCTTTTTCTCATAGGCGAAGCGTTTACACTCCCGAGCAGCAGCACTTTATAGGTCTGCTGTATGGGACCACTTTGCATTTAGAGTGACCTACGATGACAGCGGAAAGAAAGTTGTGGATAAAAGTGTAACAGTGTGCAAGCATTGTGCAACACGTTTTGTTTATGCTAACAGCAACATGTCATGCTAACCCCGAAATCCCTCATACTCCGTCAGCAACCCCCGCTCCGCCCTGCTTTGACCGGCTGCACAAAGCAAAGCCTACAGCCTCCACTGTGGCTCCCGTCCGCTCCCCTCTGAGTCCCTTGGAGATGGTAGAGAGCATGCGCGAGATGATTAAATTCAAAGCAGCAAAACATACAGAAATGATCCAGGGTTTCCGCGGATCATTTAAAATAATTACAATCCATTATTTTTTGGGGGATTTTTTCATTAATTTCATAAATTTTTATGGGATTTCGGTGTAACAATCAACATATACCGAATCGAACCGAACCGAAAAACCGTGACCACGAAACCGTGAATCGAACCGAACCGTGGATTTTGTGAACCGTTCCACCCCTAATATATATATATATATATATATATATATATATATATATATATATATATATATATATATATATATATACATATATATATACATATATATATATATATATATATACATATATATATATATATATATATATATATATATATATTTAGTTTTGTCTGTCTCTTTGGTTGAAATGTGACTAAATATTAAGTTACAGGGGGCATGAAAGGCAGAGAGTGAATATCCACATCAGCAGAGACAATTCCTGCAGTATTTACACCTAAAAAAGGCCGGAAACTGAATATAAGACTAAAAACCTCCTACACTGTAAATTGCTTCTGTATATTGAAGGTTCTGACAGGGAATACATATTTTACTACATTTCAGAGAACCTTAAAGGTGCATAGTTATTGGACTTTCCTTTTTTTATTATTTTGTAAAGCAGTAACTCAGTCCAGAAGCTAACAAAGCTTTTCTGGAAGATTACGGCGTCCTGCAGGTGTATTATTGTCATTTTTGCATTTTAATTTTTATTTTTGCTTAGTCTGCTGCTCAATAAAGGCCTTCCTGTAGATCTACTATAACAATCATGAACAAAACGTTATTCTGGTCTTTTTTGTAAAGCTATATAACATCTCTATCCACCTTTATATTTAAGCTCTTTTATTAAAAAGATGATTCATACAATTTTAATGTCAGACTTAAAAAATTCTAGGATGAATCATAGACATTAAAATGTTGACTACAGGGAAAACTCTCGATTGTCTTTGTTTTGTGTCATGCAGAACTAAGCAAGCCTCTAAAACCAATTATTGATGAAAAAAATTTTTCTGTGCAAATAAAAAATAAAAGTTTTGTACATCATTGCCATAAAGTTCAAGTTAATCAATCAGTGTGTATAATTAAATTTAAAACCTGCTGAATTATAAAATTGAAATCCAACAGAGATTTTCTGCTACTTGAGTAAAACTACCTGAGAAGCTGAGACTGCCACGCTGATATTCTCGGGTGCAGCAGGAGGGTCGGGCGGAGCAGCATCAGCAGCTGGGTCAGAAATACAAGCAGAGCCTGAGTTTAAACCGGATCCAGGACTGGGAGCTGGAAGTACTTCCCCTTCAGACACGGAATCCTCTGTTATGGGAATGAACTCTGAGGGAGTGATGGCTGTGGTTCGATCTTCAGATATCATTGGAGACTGAAGTGAGCTCTCGCCACCTCCTCCTGTCAGTTCTCCAGGCCATGACCCAGGGGTGAGCCCTCCGGGCTCCGGAGTGACGGTAGTGGAGCTTGGAGGTTCTAGGTTGACTTCTGGAGGTCTGTGGTGATCAGATGTGCGAGAGAAGCGGTAGTGAGCTGAGAAAGATTTTGGCAGTAGCTGCTTCTTCTGGCGCGAGGAGCGTTTGCTGCTGTTACTGGCCCCACTGAAGTCTTCAAGGAAGCCAGAGTCATCACCTTCATTGGTTCCAGAGCTGCTGATGCAGTTGATGAACACATTTCGATTGGCCGAGGAAGAGGATGACGAGGCCTTGTCAAAGTCCTCAGTCTGCGAGCGTGGGATTTTCTTTTGCTTGTGGCTCCCAAACCCAAATGAGTGACGTGACTTTGAACGCCTGCCACCCTCACCGAATCCTGTCGATGCAGTAACCGTCTGCTGGTCGTTTCCGTTTGCATCAGTTGTCTGCGTCAGGGGAGGCGTGAGGTTCAGATTGATGGGCTGGACCCTTGGGTCGCTGTTCCTTTTAGCCGAGAAACCAAGAGACGGCGCCCGAAACAGGCTGCGGCGTTTGCCAGTACTGCCCGAGCTGGAGTTTGTGCTGGAGGGCGAGGAGGTGTGAACGCCATTACCCACTCCACCCGAGGAGGGGGAGGAGGGGAGAGACTCCTGCCGCTTGCTGGAACTGCGGCGGAAGATTGGCAGGCGTGAAACCAGTGTGGAACGGCGTGAACCTGATTCCCCCATCGGGAAGCTGAGACAGGGAGGCGCTCTGCAGAAACACACATATGACAAAAAAAAAGTTAACAAAAAGCAGGAATCAGTATTGACTGATATGATCTAAAGCACACATTCTATAGAAAAGACAGAAAATACCAGAGTAATTACAGAAAGATGTTTTTTTTAAATTTAAGAAACTTGTGAGTTTATTTATTTCCTAATTTTTTGTCAAACGGATGTTTAAACTATAGGATTTAATGCTAAGCTTTTGGTCTCCTTCCACAAGCTTTAAGAAGTAGTTATGTGACCCATTAATTGCAACAGAGGTGATGTAACTGAGTCAGGTATTTGGAGAAACCTGCTCACACACTTGTCAAGTCTGCCTATGTGCTACCTATCAGGGATTGATGATGTCATGTTTAGAACATCCTCTCTTTATACTTGAGCCGGTTTGCAAACATTTCATCAGTGTAATTTTGCCACTGTCTCTTTGGAAGACCCAAATCCTGCCAAGATTAAACCTCCTGACTGATCTGTGATTTTATTTTGATAGTTCCACATTATGTCATTTCCTATTGGTGGCGTTCAGCCCTGCCATCTAGGGCTGCATGGTGGCACAGTTTGCAGCGCTGCAGCCTTGCAGCAAGAATCCGGTCCTCTGTTCTTCCTGCATGGAGTCTGCATTTTCTCCTTTTGCATGTGTGGGTTCTCCCCGGGTATTCCGCGTTCCTCCCACAGTCCAAGAATGATGGTTAAATGGAGTCTCTAAATGGCGCTTAGGTGTGAGTGTGTGCATGAATGGTTGTGTCTCTCTGTGTTGCCTGTGACTAATTTGCGCCCTGTCCAGGGTGTATCCCGCCTTTTGCCTATAGACTGCCGGAGTTAGACACCAGCCCCACCCTGACTGACAGATTTAAGCAGCAGAGGAAGGTGGAAGGATGACGCCATCTATTTTAGTATATTTGCAGACTGTAATCCATACTTATGCCAGGTAAACAAAAAAAGGAAAAAAGGCTCAGATTTTTTGAAATACTGGCTGGTGTTTGTACGTCCTTGTTACGTTTTACTTGGCATTGTTTGTCTGTCTGTGTGTTTTCCACATAACTAAAACTGGTATGGATGGAATTTGCTGAAATTTTCAGAGAAGGTGCGTATTTTGACTTAGGTGATGATCCGGATTACCACCTTGATCCAGGATTTTTTTTTTTTATTATTTTGCAAATATAGGTTAACTTAAGGTGAAAGTCACAATACGTAAGGGGGATGAGCCACTTAACGGAGGTCTGCTCCCTCTGAGTGCTTTTATTTTTAAATGTCTCTCTTGTCTCTGCAGTAATCATCATGAAATAAAAAAGTCAGAATTTTTAATATTGAAACAAAAATCGAAAGCATTAAAACTCCAATTTCTGAGAGTTATCTTATGTTTCAGATCCGAAACTTTACAGCAGTCAATCACAAGACATCTAAACAGTGATTTTATATTAACAATGAAATTAATTCATGAAAACTATCCATGTAGAAACATTAACCCTCTGCTCTAGGTGCTGAATGTTCGAGTTCAGTTTTACCTGTGAGGCAGAAGGGTTTGACTTTCTTTTATGGTACAGATCCACACAGAATTTACAGAAAATAAGAGAGTTGGGCTTTGAAATCATTGTCTGAACTGTTTTCTTTTCTTGTCTTTTTCCCCCCTTTCGGTGGGTGGATTGATGATACAAAACAGCATGCTGTTAAGGGCTAAACTTGCTGAGAGAGATTTAGTCAGATTAGAGTGTGTGTAGGCGGATATTCAGCAGGGCTAGGCAATTAATTACAAGTGCAATACACATAACTATAATTGAACAAAACTTAATTTTAAAGCCGCAGAGGCATTCCATTTTGGTCACATTAAAGGTGTCAGGACTTAGCGGGCAGCACCAGTTAGGTCTCTGCCTGCTGCCTTTTTTCCCACTCTCCTTTTCTCCCGCAGATGGCTGTAGTTTGACGGGGGGGGCATGATGCACAGCTGCGGCACGTTCAACGGCACGATTACAGGAGGATTTAAGCGGAGGGAGGCCGGCTGATCAACACCAGAGTGTTAACCTTGAGCGGTAGGACTCAGTTGCCCCCCGTCTCCTGACAATTTCACGTTCTCAGAGTAATTCTTGTTTCCCCGTCTTTCTCGGGTTGTCTCATGCCTTGGATTCCGATCCAAATTCTCTCTCGTGCTCTGACGTCCTGGCTTCCGTTCCACGCAATCTCTCAAGGTCAAACGTCCAAAGTCAAGCCTTCTGGTTCTCGTCGTCTCTGGGTCCTGCTCCAGACGTTCCTTCGTGCTCAAGACCCCACTCCGAGGCTCCCTTGTTGGTACCAAGCTGGGCCTAGGACCCCACCAGATATCCCGGACCCTCATGCTGTCAGCCAGCCGCTGCTCCTCACCGTCACGCCGTTCGGACTCTACTAACCCTCCATCAGCCAGATCCCTTTTACCTCAGCCACCGAACTCCGGAGCCTCACCTCTTGGAGAACCTGCTGAGTCCGCCATTCCTCACTCCCCCCTGGGTAGAGTCTGCTCTACGCACAAGGTAAGACTGTGACCATCTTCTACCTCCTGGTGCCATATTAACTTTCTGATTCTTTCAGCAGTTAGTGCATCAAACCCGACCATCCACGGCGCCAGTGCCTCCCATGATCCGGCTCCGGTCCTGTTGCGTTCTCACCTAAATATATATCTGTAAACTCATTATCCTGTCTCCTGTGTGTGACCTGCATGTGGGTCAAACACTTGAAAACAATGACAACAGGGCAGCCCTTTAGATTGCATTTACATGCTTAAAGTGTGTCTGCCACCACACAGAAGGGAAGAGGGTATAGCAGCTAGAAAGCAGATCCATGCATGCAAGAAGAAGTAAAAACTTTTCCACACAAACGTAACAGTTAACTCCTGCAACAATGGACTCTAAACAAGCACGCCTTCAAGGTCATGAAAAATTGAAACCCTGGAGTGAAAAGGTCTACATGCTTGTTACTGCAAAACAAAATCAAAATAAGGTTTTAGTCGTTATACTCGTTGAAAAACAACAACAACAAAAAAAAAAACATTCAGCCCTAAAATTTAGTATATCAATTATTATATATCTTGTAAAATAGGATTTTGTTTAATTTAACTCAGATATTTTTATATTTCTAGTCAAAATTATAAACCTTCGAGTCGATGCAATCAATTTGATTGTATGATCTGGTTGAATTGTACAGTGCCTTGAGATGATTTGTTATGAATTGGAGCTATACAAATAAACTGAATCGAATTGATATCTTAAAGGTTTAGTGGAGGACGTTCTTTTTCCAGGTGGATGAAAATAAGTGGTCCTCCTAATTCTCAATCATTCTGCTGATATGTTTAAATAAGGCTGTCCTACGTGCTTGCTCTCGTTTTCAGTTACTGGTGAGTCTGATATAATAGAAAAATGGCAAATCTTCTATTGGAAAGTAAGCTTGTATGAGCGATGCAAACAGCAACTTTTAAACAGAGCGTGCACGAGGAGAAATGGGCTGCTGCACACGTTTAAAAGGTGTTCCCTCTCTGGAGCCGGTACAGGGTTGTGCAAGCACTACTTTTTTTTTTTTTAAGTGGACAGGGCAGGTCTTTTAAAAAATGTATGAAAATCCTCCACCATACCTTTAATACTTTTCTTTGCAGTAAGAGAGGATCTTTGTAACTGGTTGGTTTAACAGCTTGTGGCTGTGTAAAAAGCCATAGCCATTCCAACAGGATGGTTAGTCAGCTTTATTGATTCCCAAACAAGGTTCTGACAGGTGTTTGGGGCTGCTGCCCTGATGGAATTATGTCCAGGTTTTAAAAACTTAAAGTTTATGATTGAAGGGGGAGGTTGAATTACTTTTAGGTAGTCCTTCAACTTCCCAAATCCACAGCATGATGCTACCACCACCATGGAAAACGTCTGGCTCAGCATTCTGAGAGCCTGATATTGACTCATACAATCACTGATAAGAGGCTAAAATCAAACAGAGAAAGAGCCTATAAGAGCTTTCCATTTTTGAACAGAACACCTGTTTAACCTGAAAAGAATCAGTTCAGCAACCAAAGCCGCTCCCACAGCCTGTTACGTGTTGGCATGCTGCAGCATAACCATAAAATGAGCTCATTCTGAGACGGATCTGCTCTGCAGGTGCATTATAAGGAACAGCAATCAACGACAGAGTAGAACAGAGCAAACAAGTAGCAGAGTCAATTATCTCTCACCTTTGCCCCAGAAAGCGGAACTAAAAACACTGTTCATTAAATCTACTGTAGCTACACTGTAAGCACATCTTCAACATAGTTAATGCCATAAAGCAGGTAAAAACTCAATGTGCTCAATTAATTTCAGTGAGTAGTTGTGTCTTTCCTTTTGTTTTCTTACATAAATTAGGATTACTTACAGCGCAGTCCGTCTTACACTGTTGAAGCTGCCTGCTAGCCTTCAGGGCTACTGAAGTGTTTTGTTTTTGGTCTCTGTGTAATAAGATTACATTAACACCCTTGAGTGAAGTGGCTAATTAAAATCTCACTTCCTGGACAGTGAATTCGATCAAGTTCTGGATGTGATGGTGATTGGATTTTTATGAAAAAGTTCAGCCGACACAATGAAAACATGGCTCTGTAATTATGTAGAGAAGAGAGATGACACAACATCCACCAACAAACTAATGCTTTGTGTCCCATTACAAAAAAAAAATAAAAAGAAACAATTCATGAAAGAAGAGCCACTCACAGCGTCCCTCTATTTTCACCGCACCATCAGCAGCAACAAACAGAGGTAATTATAATTGGGTAGTTTATGTGCGAGCTGATTTGTTAGATAACAATTAAAACTCATGGAGCGGATTTAATAGCATGAGAAACTACATGTAGAGCGTTCACACATAGGCTGAGATCTCCTCTGATACAGTTAGAGGGATGGCGGCCATAGCCTCACAACGATTTCAGCGTGGTATTACGACAGACTTGGAGTCCTCTATTAATAAGGGAGAACAACATCACCATTTTAAGCCACATTATATGGGTTCTGG